AATATTTTTTAACGGCTCCTAAAATTTAAATTTGAAATTTACATAAGTGGTTAATAATTAACTACAACTTGTTGTTAATGATAAATCTAGTATTTAAAAGTTTTAAATACTAGATTTAGCAAGTATTAATAATTGTAGTTAATTGCGACCTGCAGCAGCTACTTATTTTGGTCTTGAAAGCGTCTGAGAACTTGATTTGTCGGGTAGTTTGTTTTGAAATTTGTTTGGTAGTTTGTTTCTCTGTTTTACCACTTCCCAGTCCCCACCACGTAGCACCCTATCCAGAATCACTAGCAAGCCTAGAAAAGTACAGTCGACTCCCGTTATTGCGGATACCCTCAGAGGGAAGATTTAGTGTCCGTAATAGCGGGGTACGAGAGGAAAAAAGTGGGTTTCTCTTTAAACTGTGCTATGAAATAACATGTAAAAGTCCCAGAAGCATTGTAGTTTCGACAGTTCTTTACTTCTTTTAACTATGGACCATAAAAGATTAAAGATAATAAGATTGTGAATAGATCTAAATATAGTCGAACCTCTCTAATACGAACACCGAAGGGACAGAGTGAAATGTCCGTATTAGGGAGGTGTCCGTATAAGAGAGGTCACTACGATGACGTCACTTTTATGGCTGCACTTACAGTTTTAAGTGTTCAGTAGCTGAGACCGGGCTTACAGTCGTCTTTAAAGTCATTTAAGTTTACTAATTCCCAGTACAAAGACTCTGTCTTTCAGTAGCATTTGTACATATCAGCTACGTACGTACGGTCTAGACAAATCACTGTTTTAAAACGAGCTACAGCGCAATGCTGCTTGTAAAAAGTTGAAACGTAAAGCACACTCTGAAAGAGTCTTCCGCTATTTTGCAAGTGCAGTAAACAGTGACTATAGAGTACAAAATGTAACAGAAAACATCTTAATGCTATCTGTAGTTATTCAAGCCTTAAAAAAAGTCGGTTACGTTCCTCTGCTCACCTTTTGCAAATCGTTGTTTGATATACAGCGACTGGGCTTTTGAAGTCACCTTGCATAGCTTATCAGCCAGACGGGATTCACCCTGTGCAGATTTACCTGATCGGGATTCGGAATTCACCTGATCAGCGCAGTGTTCGTAATAAAGAGATTAAGTTTACATGAATTTACTCTCTGGGGCCGAAATTTAGTGTCCGTTGTCCGTATTAGAGAGAGTCCGTATTATAGAGGGTTTTTTTAAAAGAGAATATATGAGAATTTTGTCGGGACATTGGAAACTGTCCGTAATACACAGGTGTCCGTACTAGAGAGGAGAATAGCCAACCTTTGTAGATTTTGTGGTAGTAGCAGATTACAGTTAATAAACTTTATCAATATTTCTTTTGTACAGATTGTTGGAACTATGACAAGTGCTCCTGAAAACCTGGGAGCAGCGATATCTGTCAAGAAAGCAAAACGATAAGAATAAAAATCATTGCCGAGACTGATAATTATCACTACAGTCGACTCCCGATAACTCGAACCTTCAAGGGAAATCGAAAAAGGTTCGAGTTATCGGGAGCTCGAAGAAAATAGCCGGGAGTAAGGAAAAAAATAGTTTTTACTGCACAGTGAGTATTCTAATCCCATTTAATCGTAAAAATGTTGAGTGAAAATTAAAAGATACTGTTAGATTATAAATCAGAACGTAAAGTAACAAAACGTTGCCTAAATAGAGCATGCATTTTACTTTTTGAGAAGTAAAGCTATTTCACGTTAGATTTGTGGCAAACGTCATCAGCCTCCTCTATCGATCCACTAGTAAACTATATGCCTACAACACGTCAATGGGAAATTCAAAATTCAATGTTTCGGAGGCACTACACTCTTTTTTCCCGACTTTTTAAGGGCTCAAAACATGGTTCGAGTTATCGAGGGTAAAATTATATACCGGTAGAAATGATCTGAGGGAAACAAAAAATACTTCGAGTTAGCGGGAGGTTCGAGTTATCGAGGGTTCGAGTTACCGAGGGTAAAATTACAGTTAATGTATGACGGAAATCCGGGGGAAATCGATTTTGGTTCGAGGTAGCGCGAGGTTCGAGTTAGCGAGGGTTCGAGTTATCGGGAGTCAACTGTACCATCTGACTCTGATTATTGTTGTTTCTTTAGATGATTAAAGCCTCTTTGCTATGAAATGTCTCCTGTCTTCTCTTTATATTCCATGTCACATTCACCGCGAATATTTAATAAGACGAACCAGCGCAGTCTCTGACATAAAATCCTACAAATACAAAGGAATCTCGATTGGTTATTGGTGTGTTTTGGTCCGGGTTGGTAAAGGGGAAGGGGCAAGGCGGAGGGGGGGGGTGGTATTGATCAACCTCGTTCCCAGGTCCTCCCTCCTCCGTAGGGGCTGGTAGGAGAGAACCCTGGGAACGAGGTTAGGTATTGATTACGTTTGATGAAAAATAAAATGGCCGTTTCACTTTTCACAGACAACAAATATTGCATTTCACGTTTCACAAGACAAAAAAACGTTTTTATTCGATCAGTTTTTCTTACTTTGGTTTAAAACTACAGCCAAAGAACTGCCTTGTTCGATGTCCTCACCATTCTCCCACTTCTTGTTCTTGGTGCTGTGAAAAGGAAACCGAGTTCTTTGTTTAGAAGTTGAGGCTTGGCACCATGTTCTTCTAATAGAGGGGGACATTGGGGGTACCAGAAACTCATAACCGGGTTGAAACGTGTAACTCGCGTTCAATGCTCGTGAATATTCAGTATTTGGAAACCTTAGTGACAGATATCCATTTTCAACAAAAATTATGGCTGCCGCGCGATCACCATGCAGATGATTTACGACAAGAGTTCTGCATTTCAGGGTTTAAAATACATCATTAAAAGACAAAAAATAGAAAGAGAACGATCAAAAGAATGCTCAGCTTTCTTTTTGTGGAGGAAGGGAAGCTTTTCATGAAGAAATCGTCCTTCGAGGAATTCAACCTTGTTTTCTTCACGACGGAGCGCATGGTCTGTTTTGAAATACAACCAAGGCAGTGAAGTTTTTCAGGTACATTTTGCACTCTATGGCCAAGACAATTACGTTTTTGAAAGGGAATTTATGTATTTTTAAATGTTTCATAGAAGTTTTATAAATTTTTCTCTTCGGCGCTAAAGAAAAATTACAAAATGTGCCCTGATTTGAGATGGATTTTGTGTTGAATTTTGCCATGTGCTTAGCCGATTTCACCTGCGTGAACGGATCCACGATCCAGATAGTGTTTTCCGAATTGCTTTAAAGGATTAACTTTTTGGCCTTTGAATAAAAATTTTCAAGAAACGGCTTCTCTGTCTATTGTTTTGAATTTGTTCATTCATGAAATTAGCTCAAAACACGATCGTGACTTCAACATCCAAGTTTAATTTAAGCTTTTAAAATGCTTCTCACATTCATTAATTACAAGCATCACTTTTTGCGAAGATGTCAGGTTCAGGTTTTGGACACTTTTCGATACCCAGCTAATGAATTTTATTCGAAAATATCATTTACTGTTTATTCTAGACTTTTAAAATAAGAATTTTAAAAAACCTATTTGCAGTATAAGTTTACTGTGCAGAGGGTCAACGAGGCATCGTTTTTTGAAGTGACAACTTCAAGAAGTTGCGAGGACGTCAATGGGTTTCATAATGTTACGTTTGGCCCGGGTGGTAAGACAATAATATATTTCTGCTCAGTGTTTCGGTACGATTCCTGTTTTCAACCTTTGAAAGCTTTCTCTGCTTTTGGGAGTTTTTCCCCCCGTTTGTCGGCCATTTTTTTAAGAGGGCGCGGGAACCTGAAGTAAAATTACGTCACGTTGTTTACGAAGTTTGATTGGTCAGTTATCTCTTCTTCTCGTTCCAAATATGGTACTTTCGAAAATGAATAATCATGAGCATCGGACAAAGCAACGTATGAGAGTTACACGTTTCAACCCCTTATGGGTTTCTGGGGGTACCCAATACGGCAATACCGTAAGACAAAATGGTAAATACCGAAATACCGCGTCGAAAATCGTCCAAATACCGATACCGCACATTTAATCACATTTATAATCGGTTCCGCATACCTATGGTTGCTTCCATCTAGCGCGTTTAATTTTCTCAGGCATTTATGCACCAGATGTCCATGTTTTTTTCTTTAATATTTTGGTAGTTCGCAAATTTTTCGCAAATTTTCACTGAAAAGTAAACTACATTTTGGTAGGTCGACCCAACAGCTAATTAATTCCAATAAAAATAACTCTCCGCAAAAACAAAAAACAAACCAGCCAAAACCCTTTCCACGCACGTCTAGTGCGAGTTTTGATAAGTGAGTCTAGTCTAGCACGTCAGTCTCTCAGGGGTCAACTTACACGCCGGTAAGAGGCAAACTTACCAAATTTTCTCTTTTAACTTTACAAGGCGTCAATTCTCGAGACCCGACATCTAAACTTATTCTTGTTGCGATAATGTTCGCCTCCTTCGCCCTCTTCATAAAAAATTGCCACACAGTCAATGATGACCACGCCGTCTTCTACCTCAGCAACCTCAGCCATTGTGAGAAAACGTGTAAGACCTCGAATTCCCAGGGGGAGTACTCCCTTACAAGAGGCTAATGGGGATGTGCCGCTGGATGGGGTGGCATTTTCACGACTGGAGTGATTATAATGGGGTCGGATTTTCAATAGATTTACTAGAATGGGGTAGCAAATTTTCTGATTTTTGGAGTAAGTAGGGATTCATAATGGGAAGATTCTCGGTTAAAAAATCAGAAAGTTGTTGTTTATTAAATTTAACAATAAGCTCACATTGACCGCGTTACATTCCGTCGCTTGAAACAACATTGATAAGGTAGATGCATAAATAGGAAGTGACTAAGTTGGGATCGCGAAAATTACATTTTCCAAAAAGTGACTAAGATGGGGTCTATAATTGACCAAAAAATAGACTATAATGGGGTAGGGGCTCTGACAGGCCAGTGGCACATACCCAGCAAACATTAACCCAAGTACCCCCCAGGTACACAGATCGAAAAGAGTGGTAAGGTAACTTGAGACGACTCATTGTCATTGGATGCAACAACAATCACATTGTATATTATCGACCATTAACTGTCACAAAATGACCCACAATGGTTTAATCATTTACCTTTATGTCTCAAGTCTTCTAAATATTAACTTTTATTGACCTTTATGTCCTACTGTGTTTTGTTTTGCTCATTGTATTGAAAGGAAAGCGCAAATAAACGGTACCGTAATGCCGTGAACAATCTTATTTCACCGAATACCGTCAGCCAAAATGATGAAAAACCGCATACCGCAGAGCTAGATGATACCGCAATACCCCACGTTAAAATTAAAATTATCGAAATACCGCATGAAAAAAAGCCCAATACCGCAATACCGTAAAGTCCCATGTCCGTTCCCCTCCTAATACGACAGAATCATTGTCATCAGAGGAGTCGTCATCGTATTCAGAGAGCTGGTCTGCTTCAATCGAACAGTTCAAGTTATAATTTCTCTCAAAAATTGAAAATAACATGAAAGAAAATGACAGTTCATGGTGAATTAAACACCCGATTCTCGTTTCACAGATAATTATTATAAAAAAGCACGGCTTACGGCGATTACCAAAATCACGTTTTCTTAGGAATAGAAAGGTGATGTCACAATTCACGGGGAATAAAACAAGCAATTCACGGTTCACGAAGATATCCTTTAACGCCCTCTATATTAGTATATTGAAGCGAAAGGGACCGCGAACGACCTCGGACGTCTGAGAATCAGGCTAGATATATCGATGCTTGTTGTTTTTGATAAAAATCTTTGGTAATTCATTGCTTGCATTATGCTCTGTGTTTGTTTTTGTTTGAAACTAACTCTAAGAATAAGCAGGTTTCGAAGTATAGTCACACATACGGATAAAACTGAAGACAAAAACAAGCTTAAAAATACAACATAGCTCCACCACAATAACTTTCTACATGTAGCCTGCGTAGCAGGCGCTTGGAAATAGTGGGTGAAAGAGAGAACGGAGGCGCGCGAGGGAGACACGCGTGTCTCCTTCTCGCGCGCCCTTTTTTCCTATGCCCACTACTTCCAAGCGCCTGCTACGCAGGCTATCTACATGGGTCCGCACTTCACTCCATTAGGCGATATTGTTTACATTTTTCCTCATTAGCATACGACTTAACTCATGGAAGCCGTGGCCGTATATATAAACTAAACAGAAAAATTGAAAGAGCTGATTAAGTTGAGCAATTTGTGGAATTTTCAGCTCTTTGCATGCAACATCGAAGGAAATATCAGCCATCAATAACTGCGAAATTGCTGTGTGGCAAAAACGTTAATGAGCCATACATTCTCTGTAAAATTTCGGGTTATTAGAAGAGAATTTCTCCGAAACCATTTGGTGTATTGGGCTCACATTTTCAGAGATAACAGAAACTGTTATGCCCTTTCAATAGTCAGAGTTTTTTTTTTATTAGCGTCATCATCATATAGTGACAAGCATATGTTAATGAGGCAAAAAGTGTAAACAAAGATTCGCCTTATGGAACCTCTAGTTATTAACCACTTATGTAAATTGCAAATTTAAATTTTAGGAGCCGTTAAAAAATGTTTTCTCTCGGTATAGCTCTGGCCCTGAAGAAGGCTAATTTTGTCAACCCTTTGCCGTAATGCCAGCTTTGCATTTAGTTTTGTTTCATTTTACACATCAAGTGACGTCCTGCTGGCTGCAAGAGGAACCAGTCAGTTTTATTTAGGCGTTGCGTGGATCTTTGCATTCAAACAGTTTTTCCTAACTTTAAACATTTTATGGGGAAACATGCCACCAGATCCCCCTAGGTTGCACCGCCTTCGGCCCTTGTAACGTCCCTGAAAAAATGTTCGTTAAGGTGACCGTCATTTTTGTGCTTTTTTTCAGCGATTCATTCGTCTGGTGGAACGATAAAGCGAAAGCCAGTGGAAAACGTCGACTGGCAGTCGCTTTAATCGTAATAATTTGCCCACATCAGCTATTAGCTGCAATTTTGTCGACCTGCCAAACAAATAGAAAATTATACCGGAACTGTTCAGAGCACAGTATCCAAGTAAACAAAAGGTTGTTGTCCTACGTGCTACCCAATATTTTAAGTGTCTATGACGTAGTTGACACAAAGGATGTATCGGATTTCAGTTGACCACAGGCCCGAAAAGTCCATTCTTGTGAGCGGTTTCAAAAAGATGCGATTTCGGTGACGGGGAGCAGATTCCGGCACTGGTTTCGTATGGGCGGATCGAAGGCCGATTAGTAGAAAAAAAGTATGCGGTTTCAAAAATATCCGGATTTGTGTGGACGGGGAAGGCCACGTTTACACGAATCCGAATACTTCTGAAACCGCTCTTTTTTTCCTTCACAAATCGGCTTTTCGCAATTCCGTCCACATGAAGCACTCGCGATTAGGAACCGGATAACAACGGAGGAGCAACGACGACGCTAATGTGAACGAGAACGGCAAAACAGCAGTAGCTTAGATTGACAGAACAACAACTCTGCACGTGCATCCCGGGGGTGAGGGGTGTACTCAACAAATTTTTATACCGGGAGGCTCCGCCCGGAGGTCCATCCTCTTATCCTTTTATATACCATTTTTCACCAAAAAGGAACGCCTTTCATATATCTTCTATTGACAAGTGGTACCCATTTCACATACCTCGTAATGCATTGTCATCTAAATAGGAATCAATCACAAAAATAGAACGTTTTTCCGACTTTATAAAGGAAATTCACCTGTTCGGCCCTTTGGGCCTTTTCACAGACCCAAATGACAGATTTCCGTTCCCTTTCATATACTTTATCGAGTAAAATCCCTACCCTTTCAAATACCTGAAGCCTAAAAAAAGGTACCCCTTTCGACCGACGGAGCCTCCCCGTATAGGCCATTATAGGAAGTACCCCCCCCGGGCGGGCATCACGTTTCTTTGCTGTCTCTGCACGACTACAACGTCAAAATGCCTAATTCCACGTAAATTGTGGACGTGAACACAAGAGAACGACTTTGTTTTTCTTTTCTTGAACTACGTTACACTCTTTTAGAATTCAGCTTCAATAAAAATGCCACAATTTGACTAACTGAACCAGATGGAATAAGCGCGATGAAGTTTGAAGTTTCGTAGCCGTCGTTCGTGTGTCGTGTGGTTCGTGTGGACGGACGCAAAAACCCCGCTGTCCTTCATTTACATATGCAAGCACACCGCAAAAATTTCTTCCATAAAAACACGTAAAAATAACACGCTGTCTACACGCTGTCTGCATCCCCTTTCGACAACGGATATCGCAGTTTAATAGAGAACTCTTTTTAATTACGTGTGAGTTGAAAACTCCTCATTGACGTAAAAGTTCAAAGTTCGCAACGCTTCATTTGAGGGGCATCATATTTCAGTGTGAATTCACGCGGTCGTCTGCGCGGTAACTGAAGTCGAAACCTCCGATTAGGAAAGAGGCAGCTGTGTCTCGTAACAAGGCCTGTTATAACATACCAAGTGTATTGTTACTTTCTTATAAGACAAATTAACATTTTAAAGGAACTGTAAGCTGAGCAACAACTACAAACAAAGGTATGGCATCGCGGATTGCTAGTCACGATGCTTTACACGGCGCAGCGGTTGATGGCGACCCAAAACTCAACCAAGACCAAGACATCATGAAATCTCTAAGAAACAACTTTCTGCCTGAAACTTTCACTCCGCACTTTCTTCCTGATAACCCCGGATCGACAATTAACAGGTTTGTTTTATGTATCTCTGTTAAAAGCGAATTCTAGTCATCTTGTCATCGAAGGGGCAGTGATGTGTGTCGCAGGGTCAGCAAACGCTGCGGCTTCTTCGTGCCCTCGATTACAGATTAATCATCCCTGTCAAACATAGTCGTCCAAACGGACCAAGAAAAATGCGATGTCACCATAAGGTAGAAATTATGTTGGTAAGTTAAGAAAGTTTAGCATAGGTAGCAGTGCATATGCAGTAGTTACGGCACTGAACTTGAGAAATGCAACATGGCCGTGCATGTGGAGCTGTCAACGGTCGTACGCACCCCGCCTTCCGCGGCCTTGAGTGAATTCATAACAAACGCAAGCCCTAGCTGCCACAGTCGCCTTGGTTTGATGTGGTTAAGATTCATTTAGTTTTGCTTTACGTATGTATTTTGAAATCACACAATGTGAAGATTGAAGCGTGTCCATATCCATTGATTCAGCGCGTTTGACTTAATGCAAATTAAAGGTCATGCAGTGTCAAACGCCGCGACATGAATCGAACAGCTCCAGTCTCTCAAGAAGTGGCGCTTAATTTCCACTGACTTTCATTTACAATAAAAATTTATCTATTTCTTTTAATTCTGACCATGGAGAAATGCAATTCTGGCAAAAGTGGACCGAAGCACTCATTTTTACTCAACTCGGCGTACAACGCAATAAACATACAAGTCTCGCTAAGGTGAGTCGATCGCGTCGGCTCCAGCAGCTAAGGAGCATTTTCTTTGACTGAAAACCAGGCGGACTATAAAGGACATTTAAATTTTGTAGAAAAGGCACAATTGCTTACAGACCATTGTTCCGAATCTTAGCCTGTGAGACGATTATGGTGTAGCGAACGAAGCGACAAAAATGAAAATATCCCTCTGAGACCACGTGTTTTTGACAAGCGGCCTTTGTTTCATTTTAGACTTGAATATTAATCATTATTAAGCGTTGTTGCATTTTAGAATAGATTAGGGGCGTTATCGTTCTGTAATCAGATCTTGGAAGCGAGTCCAGGCGTTCAAACGTCTCGGGCAGTTTTTTAGCCAGCGTTGCAGCCGGCGTTTTTTAGTTTTTGTTTTGAAGGGGTGGATTTTGTTGGCAAATCTGCACAATACGGTGAGTGTAAATACAGTAGGTGAAATCCACGGGTTTCTTAACTTCTTAACTGTTCCACACCTCTAGTAACTAAATCACTATGGCAAATGGTCCCAACTGCTCATGACAATCATGTTTCCAAATTCTTTGAGCTGTTTAAATTAACATTTCAAGAAGAACTGGGCAAGTAGAGAGGAAATGGACAAAGTATTGAACTGATAACATCTAGTCTTGCAATTTCTTTCCATGATTTTCGAACGTTTCTCTCAATTGACGACGGGCAACTCGTTCGGTATGGAATTTTAAAAACATGAACAATATAATTCTATTGGCATTGGTAAATATTTTCTACTTTAAATGTGTACTGTGCTTGTATTGAACATGTAGGAATGAGACATATGAATATGACATTGGAGACAATGATACGTCTTCCCCGTAATCAACCTTAATATTTTATCATTTTGAAACATAATAAGAACAATACAACCGAGGCGAACAGATCAGCTATATAATTGTTAAAAGTTTTTCAACACAGCCGTTTTAGTGTCGACACTAAAAACGGCTGTGTAGCAGACTACACATGCTGTTGACAATTGTTCGCTTTATTTTCGTTTAACCTTATGACCTTACCGGATGCAGTATCACGCCATTTATATTACCAGTGTATTTTAATCACTATGTTCCTAGTACATTGTCTACTTCAGGTATTCCGTTGGTGTAAAAGCATGTAAACATCTACATAGTATCGTAGGGAAATAATGGTTTAAGTATTTCATATCGAGAAGCTGAAAAGGCCTTTTGCAATAGTTCGTTTCGTGATCAACGTTATGTCATCTTCGTCCACGGTTGAGTGGTTTCCCATGCAAGTCCTGAAATTTTCAAGCTGTCGTTAAATCTTTTCCTAACTCATTATAAACTCATTATAGGGCTCAAATTTCTTTTTGTCCATAACGGAAAGTTATTTTTTTAGTTTTCGTGGTTGCAAAAATGTTGATCACGTTACCAGCTACTGCAACTCTACTCACTTTTCTAACCATTGCGCATGTGTAGAGCTTTTTACCTTAGTTTGCTCGTTATTTATTTCAGTTTGGTAACGTTCTCAAGGGACCTTTTCGTTTGTTTCTTTGTAAATGAAGTATTCATATTCACGTGAATAGTTTGAAATTTGAAAGAACGCTTCCTTAGCGTGACATCTTGTGGTCTCAAGTGGGAATCAAGTAGAGAATAGTATAAAGTTTTTTTTTCTTTCCGAGTTTTAGATATGGCGTGTGTGTCATTGTCGTGTGTGGGTTTCTTTGTGTGAATATTTTCCTAAGCACGATTTTGGTTTTGTTCATATGTCTGTATTGTTTTACTGAATTGTTATTTCACGCCAGTTTTTAAAGCTGGGTGAGAGGGCGGGTGAAACGCAAATGTTGAGCTCAGATGTGTACCGTGATTTGTTCTTGGCCATTCACAGACAGCCGGTCCTGGGCCCTATCTTTGAGTCCAGGTCACGTGACCTTGAGAAGGCCAGAACTGGGCTAATACGGCTCCTTTATTCCTTTAGAGGACGGTATTACACACACTCGAGTGCGTGTTACAGCTACCTTATGGCATGAAATTTCGCCTCTTTTTAGGAGCAACATTATTTCTAGTCTGGAATGTCACAGGTCTCCTCCCCCTAACCCGTGGGGGTTAGGGGGTGGAGACGAGTGACATTTCAGTTTACATTATTTGACGACTTCAAACCACAGACATTTAAAAATCCTGCAAAATAGCAACCGTAAGATACGAAAATGTTTCAGAATAAGATATTTTCGCTGTTCGCTATTTATGAAGTATTTCTATTCCTTATTACAGGTACCCAGATGACAATCCTCTGTGGGGAGAGGTTGCCAAAAGATATCAACAAATTATAGAAAAAGAATACAAACTCCTCAATACGTGCTCTCCCTATTGTGATGGCCAGACAATCCCTCAAAATGGCCGTGTGTCACTAAAAGCCAACACGTCGTCGAACCTCAGGGACACCAGCTTAAAAGACCTACTGTGCAAAGAACGTATTAGAAGGCCTACCTCGAAGAAATGCGAGCCGGTTATAGAACAAAGAGACTCTTCCGAAATCGTCATAAAAGAACGTTCATTGACAAGTAATATCAAGGAGACGGAGAACACAACGTTTCCCAAAATTGTAGAAGTGTATAGCTTGAATTTTCCGGTACAGGCTGAAGAGACGGTAAACCGGAAGAGAAAGTGCCAACAAGGTTTGATTTCCGGTATTGAAGAGAAAACCTGGAGACACAACACTACGGATAAAAATCCTCCAAAGTCAGGCTTCTCTTCCAAGAAATCTCGTGCCGATATTTTTATAGATCTTACCGTGGACGAAGAGGAAGAAACCAGGGTGTGTAGTTCAGAGGACACGAGTATGAATGGAGACCACCAACCCGAGAGGGAAATTGTAAAGCCTAAAGAAGACACAACCGATAAAGAAATAGAACGTGAAGTTATAAAAAGCAACACGAGTAAACGCAAGAGAGTTTTCCCTGGTCGGAGAAATAAGATAAAATCAAACAAACCAACCATACAAAAGAAAATAGAAACGGATGAAGTGACAACAAATAAGAACAATTGTAACGATGAGGATAGTCAGCCTGAAGCCTATAACGGATTTGACCTTGAGATTAAAAACAGCAGCGATGATGGCCATGGAGTAGACCAGAACAACAACAAGGTGACAAGAAAAAACGCGGAAGAGTTGGACAAGAATTTAATGTGCTCAAATGAGAACAATAGCGACAGAAGTGTGTTGGGTATGTCGTACCGGGAGCATAAGATAACGGATCTTAAAGCGAAGTTAGCACAACAAGAAGAGGAACTCGTTAAGCTAAAGGCATTGAAAGGATATGATATAGCTATTGAAAAGATCCCGCAAACGCTTTTAAATCATGACGAAAGTGTGGAAAATTCAAAACAAGCAAAAAATTTTACGGTGGAACCTGTCGATCAGAAAGGAGAGGAACACATTCCGAAGGCTGGAACCGTGAACCTCGATGACATCTGCCAGCATGTGATAAAATCATTTAATATTTTTAATGCTCGAGTTTGCGAATATAATCGGATCGAAAAGGAAGGAGTTAACGGCCATCAGATAACCACAACGAAAAATGGTAACTCCCTTCAAGGCACGGCCAACGGCTACATTGGTCATGGTCGCGGCAATAAGCAAGACAAATTTTTGTTTCAAGTTGGTTTGAGAAGAAAATCTTTTACTTGAATCTATTTTTGATATTGTTGCTGATTGACGTTCTTTCTGAGGCTAGTTCGAGCAACGGCTCTTGAATTTTACTATTTGATGGACTTTTAGCAGGGCGTAAATAAGCTTTAGTTTTGTTGGAAATAAAGTTACAAGCTTTAGATGTGTGTTTTAATGAAGAAAATGGTTGCAGCCATTAGTTGAATTTGGGCGTTGAGCGATAATTTCATATTTAATAAATCTAAAAACTTTCTATTGAATGCTGTGACGTCTTCTCTTGCCTTTAAAAACATCAACCCTTGCATTTTCTTGTATTTTGGAAGGTTTTCACCCAGAAACTTAAGCTAAACACCAAGTTCACGTCAGCCATTTTATCTCTGTCTTCTGAATCACAGATTAACCACTCGCTGGGAGCACAGGATTTCTGCCGAGGATGATCTTATCATGTTTTTAATAATAGTAAGGCAATGGCTACTGATTTTAACAGAGGCTATTCTTTCTTCAAATCCATTTTACCTGGTCTCATTCTGATGACTGATACAACGCTTTCAGCAGTCTTGTCGGGTGCTAGGAATAACATTGTGTGGCGTTATAGTGATAACTGACAGCGCTGCGAAAAAGGGTTATCTCATCTATGGTCCTGTCCTGTAAGTACTCTGGGAGATAACCTATTATGCCCTGCCTACGTTTAGTTTGCGTGGCAGGCGCAAAAAGGGGAGCGGGGAGGAGGGGGGGGAGGGAGAAAAGCGCGTAAGAGGGGAAAAGGGAAGGGAGCGCCTGCTATAAGAGCCGGTGTTGTTGTATTCCGGTCCACCAAACATTTTCTGAACTAATCCGAGAATGTCAACTGTCAATATGTGACCAATCACAAGTAGGGGGCTTCTCAGCATGGTCCGAAGTTAATCACTTTGTGTACCGGAAATTGTCAAGTCGAGACACCTTTTTTCAAATGATATCATAATCGAGCGAAATAAAACATCTTTACTGTTCTTGCTCCCGAAGCAAACACGACAAACATTTAGACTACGAGCTGCAGTCTCTATTTTTACTGCTCGCCGTCTACGATAAACAATGATCAGTTTCGTGTGAATACACAAGACCTTTGGTCTTACCTCGTCAAACAGAATTGTCACAAAGAACAGAATAGTCACCGGTAGCCTGTCAGAGACGCAAATAATGAAAGGAGAATTATAAACAATTGTCAAAAAGCTCAACGGATAGTTTTTACCAAAGCTTCAGCTCTCTCTTTACAAACCATTTAGAAGTTCATTCAAGATGGTATATGTTTTTGCGGAAAAGGCGGTCTTGTGATTATCGACATTGCAAATGTCTGGCAAGAATCGCAATCGCTTTAAATCGCCGCTCGGCGTTTGGACAAACCCAGTACACAAAACCTCCTGGGCATCTCTGCCTGCTAAACAAGCTATTACAGTTGGTTCCAGTTCGGATTTTAACGTGAAGTTCCTACATGATTGGAGTAATTTTGATCTTCCAAAGCTTATGCCAGTAGAACACATTTCCTTGATGCCTTTATCAGGTTTGTCTCTCACTAATACACGCCAGGATAAACGGCAATAAGTTACTCATCACGGCTCAGCCAATCAGGAATTTGCGGACGCCGGCGTCCACAGTAATGAACAAAAGGGGGTTCTTAGAGCAGGCGTCCCTTACTCTCTCTTCCCAATCCCCCTCCTTTTTCTCTTCCTCCCTATTCCCTACCCCTTTCGACGCCTGCGTACGTTTAATAATAATAATAATAATAATAAAATAACGCAGGTTATCTGAGAGAGAGACATAAGATGTCGAACATTCGCTGTCCTTGAAGAAACAACCAACAACTTAGAGCTGTTTGAGCGATACTGGTTCTCCTTTATTCTTTAATCTCCTCTAACATAAGAAAAGTAAAATAACCTTTCTTACCCTCGAAAGGGTCATTGTGGTAAGCCCTGTCCCAAGAATAACTGTTTAGTTAATTATAATAACTTGTTTAACGTGTATTTTTCCTTTATTAAAGGTTTTCAACTCAGATCTTAAGTTTCAATCAGCAAAACTATAGTGGCACAGAAAGCTCAGAGGTCATTAATGTTCTGCTGTAAATGAAACTCGAGAGGCAGCTAGTTATTTAGACATTTTAGACCGGTCCAGGGGCGAGTTTCGCGAAAGGAGCGATAAGTTTTCGGGCCCGAAAGCAAATTTTTAAATCAAAACCTGTTGAATAGTAGCACAGTTCCTAGTTACACAAATAAATCAATTTTGCTTTGTTAACTGTTAGTTTAATTGTATCATTTTTAAAGTTATCGAAACGCTGATCTCGAATGCGAACCCGTCGAACACTAATAAAACAGCTTTTCGGGCGCGACTTTCACCGGAGAAACGGGCCTCAAGCATGCAGGGGCGAGATACCCAGTGCTTTTACTCTTTAAATTTGCAAGGACGGACAAAACCCTGTGCTGGGGACTTACTAAAACAGAATTGATAAAAGGAAAACTCTAAAAAATCAAAAATGTCTTAACAACATGCAGTGCGCATGCGCCATCATCATTATCACCATCTTCGTCTCCTTAAATGCCTTCCATTACTCTTGTAACACTGTTGTTGTTCTAACAAGTCTAAGAAGAGATAGAAATTCATCTTTTGTAAAATTTCCTTTCTTTAAGTCGGGTTTTACATATTCGGATGTTGGTTTGTCCATGACAACCGTTTGTTTTCGGTCTGTTGTTTTAGGTAAAAAATTCCTCATTTCCTGTTGCATGTCTTTTCTAAAACTATAACGAAATCGTTTTGAACTGAATATGCTGCTGCGTTCCTTAAATGTTCGCTTTCTTCTTGAACATTCAGCAACATGGGTTTTAGGTTCTTTAAAGTTTCTTTGTTGACTCTTTCCAAACTGAAAACCACAGTATTCCGCCGTTGCCATTGGAGAAGACACGTCGGAGATTCTTTCTGTACTTTCGCTTTTAAGTCTTTTTATTTCCTTTTCTTGCTCTGCTAAGAGAGCTTTTAGTTTTCGGATTTTCTCCTCAGTTTTGGAGCAATTGCTATACTTGTTGGCATTTTCCAATGATACACTACGGGCGTTAGAAGTATGGGAGACCGTCGACGTCATTTGTTGGGAGATTTCGCCGCTATGTATGTCACTTGAAGCCGATACCGTTTTATTGCAACAGCCTTTGGCTTCTTCGTTTGAGTTTCTCTCCACATTTTCGTTAAACCAATATGGGATGTCTTCGGACTCGTCAGTTTCGTAAAAATGATAATCCTGTTCGCAGAATGAAAGAGGGTTGTTCCACCAGTCTAAATGCTCTTTTTCTGTAAAGCTAAGGAAACGAGAGGCTGGTATTAGATTATGGGTATTTCGCTAACGGTGCGAAACAGAATAGGACAATTGCACGATGACGATATTTGACAACAATTATTATCAGAATTCATTTCGATTTTGCTTTGTTATTTAAATTTGTCAATCCCGCTGAGGATTAAAGAACAATAGCCTTAATTTGCACAAGAAAACGACAAACTCAAGGATTCTGGTAGTTGTAGTAAAATGACGTCATCGTGCAATTGTCCTATTGATTTCACTCTATCAGTCATGCTCTATAAGACGCATGCCGTGGCACATTTTGTCTACCCATATCACTGGTTAAGGATAAAAATGTAGCAATTGTCATAATATAAGTACTGTAACCTGCGTAGCAGGCGACAGTGTTTTCAGCGCGAAGGAATATTTACACTGTAATCTCGAGGACGCGCCTATTTCCCTCGTACGGCCTGTAATAGGATAATCAGGGAGTTTAAGATACGGCGACTACGGACTACGACTACGGTTTATCATGCTACTGCGCATGATCAAAACCACGTGACTGTTTATTTTTCCCGCGTAGTCCTGCGGCTACGGTGAGTTGTTGAGCTGTTTCGCGTAGTCGGGACTACGGAGAACATTTTGCTCGTATTTTGCCGTCTCGGTAATTCAAGAATCTCGTCTTTTCGTAAGAAAGTTTTCAATTCACCTGCTTTAAGTGAGGCAGAAGCGAATTATGTAAGTTGTGCCTAATTTCTGCTCAGATTTACGCTTTTAATCCACCGTTGTGACTACATTTTTATCTAGCTAAGCTCATATTTAAAGGAGCTTAGCTGTTTATACGCAGAATTCAGATTGATGGCCGAGGAGAAGAGAAATCATGCAGGTAATTTACTTTCTCTCCGCACTTGAAAAGTTTCAATGTTTGTTCGAACTGATTAGTGTGTCTTTCTACTTGTGTGACCTTTGTTTATGCGAGTTTTTGTATCGCATTTGCTGAATGAAAATGATGTAAACATCTTCGAGACAATCGAAACTCGGCATTTCAATACTTCAAACTACATCAGATCAGTAGTCGGAGAAGTCCATCTTCTAAATCTAATAAATGAGCTATTACTATTTCTGTCTATTTCTTTAATATTTTACATAAGTATTCATGGGCGAAAAAGATAAAACCTGTGCAACCAAAACTTTGTTTATCAATTTCACCCGAGCTACGGTGATGGAACAAGGAGTAGGCGAATCGACTTGTACGTAATTGCTTCCTTCAAGTATGGAAGAATTTTTTCATTGTTCTAAAGATAAGATCACATGCAAAACTGACTTGCATTTTTGTGAACTGTGATGAAAACAAGAAAATCTTTCGGTGTTGTTTCCCTCTCCGCCTCTTCTCTCGTAGTCTACCGTCTGTAGTGCAATCTTAACGTTCTATATTTTCACGACTCAATCCAGTGATACAAACAAACGACAACGCTCGTCCAGCCGTAGTTCGTAGTCCGTAGTCTCCGTATCTTAAACTCCCTATTACCTGAGCCTGCTACGCAAGCTACTGATACAGCAGTAAGTACTGTAACATCTAGTATGCTGACAACGGGAAGCGAGATTTAGCCAAATAAAAATAGAAGAATTGCATATTTCAAGAACAAGGAAGTAGCCGCATTTGTATAGACTTGAGACGAATTGAACTATATCCGCCCGCGGCTATCTCGAATGGGCTGCCTTTATGATGCCTCAGTCAGCTGAATAAAGCACAGTCTTGTTATGATCTGGTGGCAATATGATAACCAAACTTTTAAATTTTAACTCATTTGATAAAGGAGAGGGGAACTACTATAGTGAGACTTTAGTATTCCGTTTTTTTTTCAGTAACTCGTTTTTTTGCACCGATGAATATAGAGTTACTTTCTGCTTAGCCTGCTATAGCAGGATGCGAGTTCGGGGAAAATTTTTGCCCGCAAGGAGGATAGACCGAAGAAAGTAACTTTTCCTCGCTGGATGGCGATTCCGACGCCAAAATAATTCTCCCTGAGTTCGCACAAGGGAGCCTACTCGCAGGCTACTTCTGTTGTGGCACTTTTACCGACTCTGAACATGTCTATAGATGCCGGAAGTGCCGGGAGTTTGGGAGTGACTCACTTATTTGACCTAAACGGTGACGTGCATCAGAACAAGGCAAGGCTTTTTAGGCCTTTCGCTGATTTAAACAGGAATAGAAATACATTACTTAGTGTCTCAAACAGGTCTTTGTGTGTAGTTTATTTACGGAAACAGATCAGCTCGACAGCCGAGTGACAACATGTTTTTGCTGGAGCGTATCGCATTATTGCAGGAGCCCATGAAAGTAAAAATATACATATCATTCTATTTTGTTGGTTTGTTTTTTTATTTAGTGACTTACTGGAAAAAAAGACAAATATTCCTTGTAAAATAAAAAAGGGGTACACAAAAGGCTTCTTGTCTTAAAGATGTACCACACTTAAAAGATTTTGTCTTGACCCTGCAGGGTCACGATTTGAAGGTCTCTGCAACACTATGCTACCCAAGCTTAAATTAAGTGCCTCCGCCTCTTCCCTCCCCCTCCCCCTCCACCAACCTCCCCGAGACCTTATAGAGTCACTTCTTACTTTGCGAACACTCGCTCAGTATCACGGATTCCTCAAAATACGGGCAGCAGGTGAATAACCGGCAAAATAATTTACACACCTATCACTAAAATGCCTGCTATCACGTACGGCGGACTTTGACAATTACGGACATTCCAAAGGGTGTCTGCAATTGTAGCAGTTAACTTTGGAATGATCAACAACGAAAAAATGTGAAATCTTTTAAACCTATAGAGAAAGGAAATACAAGGCACAAGTCATCGATCATCACGTATTAAAACGAACCTTTGAAGATACGACGCAGTTTCTTGCATTCTCTCTTCCGACTTCAAGGTGGCGTCTCCTTCGTTTACGGCGATGTCATTGATTGAATATGCTTTAGTGTCAGACATGTATGTCAGGCAATTCACTTCCATGCCATCCATCCGAGTGAGATGATTTTTATCTGAGTTAGCAGGCCAGGTCTCATCTATGCTCTTGCCACTGATCCAGGTCGATTGAGTCAGCTTGGTCTTGTTTACGACATCAATATGCGGAGAGTCCACGTCCGCCATCATCCTTCCCGGAAATTCGGTTTCAGTCATACTTTCCGCTGTTTGTTGACGAATGATTATTTTACCCATGCCATTACCGTTTCATGCCAACGATCATTTTATACGATTGTTGTGTATTCCTGAGTCAGTCTAGCTTAACAACAGTGAGTCTTTACATCCCAGAGCGAAAATAAGGCACTTGAAAGAAAACCAGTTGCATTCACCGAGTTTGTACAAAGACGTAATTTAAACTAAACGAGCGCCTATGTTGTATTCGTCCGCTCACAAACACGATCTCTTCGTGTGACTTCAGACTTCGCCAAATCCATGCGTATGTCGCCTTATCTCTGTCATGTGGCCCGTAAATCTGCAACGGCCTTTACGTCTACTCACTAACAGAGACTCTTCATTCGGAACTTAGAGTATAGAGCCGCTAACTGAAAGCAAATTAAATATTAATGACTGTCAAAATCATAACAAAAGGAATTGTATATTAATTAATCTCATTCTTTGTTTCCACCAATCAAGTACCACCGGGGTCAGGAGATCGCAATCAAGTGCCGAACCATTTTGACCACGACATCCTTCCGCAAAGCATGAAAATTCTTTGGAATTTCCACGGTTTTAACGCTCCTCTTTGGTCAGTTACTAAACTTACTTAATATACATGGTAGATTAACTTCAGAAAAAGAGGAAAAGTATTGAAGGCGAGATTTCAGGACCTGCTGCGGCCAGTCTTTTTTTCGGACTAAATCGTCATGGCATTGTCACGCGTGTAATTTTGTGAGACGTCAGTTGATCAGCACAAGTGTGCCCCAGGAATTGAATTTACTCTAATTTTAGCTAAACTGTAGCCTGCGTAGCAAGCGTTTTCGTGCGGTTTCGCAGCAAAGAACGAGGAACGACTGAGTCAAAGACCGCGCGAAAAATGGCACCCCATCTTCGAGTTTTTGGCGCTCCTCGGTCTTTGTTTGCCCCGAAACCAAACGGAAGCGCTTGCTAAGCAGGCTAGATAAAGTGGGATTTTTTTTTTTTTTGCCCATTTGTGTCTTAGCATTGAGGCTAGGGTTGACCGTCAGGGTGGCGCCCGATTTTTCTGTCGAAAGTTTTATTAAAGTGTAGCAAGCATACTTTGGCAATTTTTCTCACGGTTACAAAAGATTGCATTTTAATCCCTTCCTCACCCCCTCTTGGATGTCTTATATTTTGAGCATAGCGAGCCATTAAAGCCAGCCTCCGCCCCGTAAGCATAGCCAGGCTTAACCTGCGTAGCAGGCGCTTGGAAGTAGTGGAGCCAGAGAACGGGCGCGTGCAAGGGAGACACGCGTGTCTCCTTCTCGCGCGCCTGTTTTTTCTTGTGCCCACTACTACTGCCAAGCGCCTGCTACGCAGGCTAAGCCAGGCTACGCTAACAAGTCCCGGTATTAAAGATCGAGCTACATGTACTTTACTGTTGTTCAATTTTATCCTGGGCCATTTAAATTGACCACTCCAGAAAATACCATAACATACCATAATGCTCTTTGTTAAGTTTGTCACCCCAAAATTTGCATAAGTACTGTTTTCAGTTTCTCTTGAGGCCATTTTAACTCCCGAGAGAAACTGAAGATAATGCTTATGCAAAATTTTGGGGTGACAAACAAAGAGCATTATGGTATGTTATGGTATTTTCTGGAGTGGTCAATTGTATTTCTCTTTCCTTTGTTTCAAACGCACGCGTTACTATACCCCCTCATATCATGCATTACCATATCCTGTCTTTGGATAGGCATTCGAACGAACAAATTCGGAAATTGTCTAAAACGTGTGCTTAAAGATGCAACGGCGGGTGTGCCAAGTTCTTTCGACAAATGACATTCGACGAACGCCCTCGAAAGCCCCCCCTGAAACTCGAGCACAGGAAAATGCAAGAGAAACCACGAAACACGTGGTTCGGACGGTACTGTTTCAAAACCCTATATTAAAGAGCTTTCTTGCACAATTAGCGCACGGAAGGGTTTTACAATTCAAAAACTCTCATATGAATTCTTAAACAGCTATTGCTATATGACTGATAATTAGCTGGGAGGACCTTTGAATTGATTTTTGTTTGCTGGTTAATGATGACCTTCTGGTATTAAATGTCAATACTTGTCACGGACTTGTGCGATCAATAATAAAGAGAATGAAATATACGGCTCTCCCTTTCTCCATTGGCTATGCTGTCACCTCAGCCGCCATGTTAAGCGAAGTAGTCAATGAATCTTTTTTATCAGAAATATTAGAAAAATAAAGCATCCACTTACATGAACATCAGTTGACCTTCAGTCACGCAATTCGTCTTGGGCAATTGAAATTGTGACGTTTGCGTCACTGTTAATGAATGCGCGGCGAGACGCGCGACTAAACACGACGACCTCGGAAACTGGCAATACTGGAAACACAAAGTGACGTAGAGACTAGTGCGTGATTCGTTTCGCTTGCAAGTGACGAAAAACTTTGACGAAGCACGAAAAATCTGATATCAAAGTATAGCCAGCTGATCACTGCCTTAAACGAAGGGTAAGATCTCCTTGCCTCTCAAAAAATAGTGGATAGATATTGTTCGTGCGTTATTGACGTTATTCCCATGCATATAATTCTCTGCGGTGGTTGGTTTTTGCCTGTCTGTTGAATTCCGCTTTGATTAGAACGTCTGCTGATCTTGAAAATGGGAAACACGGAAGGTATTCCAATAAACAGAATGACAAGCAGTGTTAAAACCAGCAGCAAGGTATTTGGTAAAGACGAAAGAAAGCTTTCGTGTGAACGCGAAAAGTACCCTGCTTGCGTTGAAGACGAAGTTGAAACAATTGGCAATCCTACCGAAACAATGGCTGCGGATAACAGTACTCTCGCAGATGCGGAGAAGGTAAAGCCGTCAATTCCAAACCCCACAAGCAATAATAACAGGTAGGTGATTTTTTCTTTGAAATTATAGTTTTTTTGTTGTTTAGTTCAAGGCCATTCAAATTAGGCGAAGGTCATGACATTGTTATAATTTTGTTTTCGGAGTATAGTGTCTTTTCAGGTTGCAGTTGGTAGGAAATAGTAGTAAGCATCTTTTCTACTCGCAAATTTCCCCTTTTCAATATTTTAAAGCTCAGTATAAAAAGAAGTTCAAAGTTCGTGTTTTTGGCCATGAAGGCCATTTCGTCTGGCTTGCAGACAGACTTGTCACGCGCTCACAGGCCGGCGGCGGCGGTAGGAGTTGTGACAGGTTGTTAAAACAAGTACTCATCATTCTTTACACGTAACATGCACCTGTGTGGCACAATTATAACTTTTTCTTATTAGCTCATTCTTTAGTGTTAAATCTTAATTACACAGTTAAATACAGAAATACACTAGTGGTCAGCCTATTGGTAGAAGAAATAGAAAATCTCCAAAATTGTTCCATTGCGTGTCATTAGCTCGTAAGGTCGGTCGAGACATGCATATTAATATTTATTTTTGTATTTCGATGAATTCGGGAGACGTAAACACAGTTACCAGAGCGATTAAGCATTACGTACTATCAATTGTATTTTTTCCGCTTTCGACTTTCCTTATGGAAAATTTTTATGAGTATACTATCGTTAGAGTTTTTTTTTTTGGCGATATATATTCAGATACTAGCGGCTTCGACTTCTATTACCAGTTGCCAGCTATCTTCTCACGAAATTTAAATACTCTGTCCTTAAAAAAAGGGTCTTTCTGTAAGTGTACCTGTAAGAATGAAATACGACCTTTTCTGCTCCTTATTTGACAGTTTTAATCCCATATGTTGCCGACGTCTGCCTCGAATTCCCAATTTAGCTTTTTATTAGAAGGACAATACGCCGCAGATATAGTTCAAAAGTGAGAACATGTGAAACTGCTGAACTCATGCGGCAATGCAAGTTTTAAGACACGTTGCGGGTGGCCAGGCCACAGCTGACAAGATCAGAAATCAGTGACACGGCATCCGGTCTACACACCGCGCGCCTTACGAATACATAGCCGTCTCCAGCCACGGTGTCTCATCGGTTAAAACCGTTCAATAGCCAGTCCGTGTGAAAAGGAAAAACAACAACAAAAATGGAAAGTGGAAAGTTAGAGAGTGGTTATTTTAGATTGTATAAGAACTTCATTTAATACGACTGAACTGTATGGAACTAATGCTTGACGGATATTAAGGTACAGTTTTTCATTTAACATGATTTTAAAAAAATTATATATTTTGGGTTATTTCGTAGTCATACACAGTTTCCGGTTTTGACTAGTACATATTTGAGGAGTGTTAGTCATCGCAAAATATAACTTTTTGACGAAGTACATAATGACTGTAATTAAAAACCTTAAACACCATGCAAGAGAGGATAAAGCTCAGAGAATTACTCCCTCATATAGGCCCTTTCCCCATCGTAATCCCTCTAAGTTATTTTTAGATCGTATTGGTTTTCCTCTAGTCTCCTTGGCAGCCGTTAAACGGCTGCCAAGAAGACTAGTTTTCCTCCGGAGGATGATATTTTCTCGCGTGTTGCGTGGAAGTTTCGTGGAAGAGCGGAAGTGCAAAAACATCGGCAGGAGAGCGAGAGTTTTGTTTAATGCGAAACAAGAGAGGATAAAGAGGATTTATCCTCTCTTAATGCGAAATGAGAATAGTTTTTAAGAATTTTTTCTTCTTTATTTAAGCATGTATCAATCGCGATTTGGCATCGAGAAAAAGAAAATCGTCTGAAGATTCACAAAGGAAATTAAGTTTGTAATGTAGTGTGGACAGGCGCCGGACATGACTCAAAAGAGTATCGTTTAAAACATCAACGGTCTTGAAGAATTCTAATTTTTTACTGAGCAAATCTTATTTTGGCCGCTTTGATTCTCAGTGGAGTCGTACATTGACATTAGGGAGCTTTAGCAACGACGACGGCGACGACGGCAAAAAACAATAGCTTTGATTAGCAAAACAACATTTTTGCACGTGCATCACACTTTTTTTTACATTTCTTTGCCGTCACTGCACGACTACGACGTGAAAATGCCTACTTTCACGATTTATGGAGAACGTAAACAAGCGACGACGCTGTTTCCTTTTAAAGCCCGGTTAGAAATCAACTATGAATTTCGCTCACATTTCACATTTTCAGTGAATTGGAGTAAACGCGACAAAGTTTGAAAAAACGCGAATTCATTTTAAAAGTGACCTTTTCGCTGCTGTCGCCGTCGTCGATGCTAAAGCTCCCTATTGAGAACTCAGAGGCTGGTCCGTTTAATTGACTATGATTTTATTATTGTAAGCAGCGACCATTCCAGAAAATACCATAACATACCACAATGCTCTTTGTTTGTCACCCAAAAATTTTGCATAAGCATTGTCTTCAGTTTCTCTTGGGAGAGAAACTGAAAACAATGCTTATGCAAAATTTTGGGGTGACAAACAAAGAGCATTATGGTATGTTATGGTATTTGTCAACATTGGCAAAGTCAAAAGGACATGTGATTGGCTATCACTCAACCCTCTTGGGAACAACGGGTATAGGGCCTATAGAAAAATATGAAACGGCAAACTGATCCTTACGGCAAGGCGATGAAGAAGTAAACAAAAGAATAAAGCAAAAAATATATATTTTGTTTTATTCTTTTGTTTACTTCTAACCTGAGATCAGGCTCTATTTTCGTTTCGCTTTGAAAATTACATTCCGGCGGGCAAGGCGAAACGAAAAGAGAGCCTGATACAAACCTTCTACGAAACGTCTGCCGCCCACTTTTTTGGTTGATTGACATTTGCCGAATCAGCCAGTCAGAATTACTTCCCTTGCTTGTTTTTCTAGTATGCAAATTTTTCACGCGTGGAAAAAATGCAGACTGGCTGACTTACATTTTGTAAAAGATAGCTTTTATCTGTTAATCAAAATGCACCTTGTTAGCGGTCAACAACTTGCAGAGGGATTCAACTCCGCGATACACTCACTTTCCGTAAATAAAGCAAATCCTGAGAAGATATGATCAACAACCACATGAATTTTCTGAATTTCCATGGCACATAGTAAGGCATATTTTCCTACCATAAGACCATAAAACAATAAAAAAGACAGCAAAATCGATCCTTCTCTCCACCGACGACGGATCATTCTCGAAAACAACCACGCGAGGAATAAGCGCTTTCAACTTCCGGCGTTTCCGACAGCCAATCAGATCTTGTGGCATCGTTCTAACAGCCAATCAGCGTTACGGCCAAAATCTGGCCGTAGCGAGCACAAACTTGTAATAGTTTGTATCAGGCCCAATTTCAGCGGTAGCCGTTAGAGAGAATGTATGAGAACCGCTCAAATTGGGCCTGATCTCAGGTTAGTTTACTTCTTCCTCGCCTTACCGTAAGGATCAGTTCGCCGTTTCATATTTTTCTATAAGTTTAATCAGTGTACTGATCCAGGTCTACAACTGGGAGATCCAGCACCACTCATTGGCTTGTTGCTGTGGACTTGATGAAATTTTATATATTATAGGGCCTATATGAGGGATTAGTTCTCTGAGCCTTATCCTGTCTTGCACCATGACACTAGTTTTGAAACTCTTTACCTCCGGCAACTCTCCAGGGTAGAGGGGAGGGGGTAATAAAGGAAGTCCACTGGCTGGAAATGTGTTGTTTTTTGCCCTTTCTCGAGTCTCCTGCAATTATAGTTTTAACAACGATTCAGTATCGTTACTCGTAGACCCCAATCAGCACTAGGAGAGTAAAAGAAATGACTTTTAACAGATATGCGTTTTGTAGAGAAATAGTTTCAAATAATTTAATAATCACTAGGTCAAGTGGAACCCCATTTTTTTTTTTTTCCATACTCTACAGTCTAATTGATCAAGATTGATATCGTATGGAAAATATCAAGAATCATTTTTCCAGGTGTCCCGAAAAGGAAGAGAGCATTATTTAACAAACATAAACCCTTCCTCTTTAATCAAGTTTTATGTCATTTCATTGAGATTGCTTTTTCTCTACTAGCCAAACGTTTAAGCTCGCGTTATGTATGGAAGTCCTTTCTTCACATGACAGTTGATGTTCTTTTTGACCCAATTGTTTAGCTCACCAGAGGGTAACGTGCAACAGATGAAGATGTGGGAAGAAGTAGCTTCGAAATATCAAGACATTCTCAACAGAGAGTACCGTATGCTAAACTTACCTTCTTACTCGGCAATGTCAGAAGGCAATGTCTACCTATACTACGTTCCAGTCATAATAAACCCACAGTTTGTGCCCCAGAGTTATGGTGTTTACAGCCAATATCTTAGCACACCAAAAACTGCCGGTGAAACAGGTTCCAAGAAAGATATGGTCCACTTCGGTGATAATGATAACGTGAATGATAATTGCATCAATACCGTAAAAGAAGAACCTCGTATGCATTACGACCAACTCATAGAAGATACCGGGGACAACAAAGGACGATTTCGCACCGAATATGTGTCTTGTAAAACAGAAAGCAAGCAATATAACGGCGTCAAGTCATGGCCTTGCTCAACAGAAACTACGGTGATGACAAAAGCAGAAAAAAACACCAACGCCCTGAACTCTTGTTGTGGTGGACATGGAAAAGACATGAAAAATGGAGGTGAACGCGAAAACACTTCTCAAAATGGCAGAGGAGAAGATGAACCGTTTATTAACAACATTGATGACGGCGCGACTGAAGGCTGTATTCGGATTTTTAAAGGTTACACGATAGAGTACCATCCGCTAAATAGGGGTAAGCTGCAGAGGTGTTACGTTTCCGAACTGGACATAAAAAGAGCTGAGAAGATACAAGATCTTAAGGAACGTCTCGCTGAACAGGAAGAAGAACTGAAAAAACTCAAACTGAAACCGTCAGCAGATGATGTTTCTAAAAAAGGAAATGTTTACGGGTGTTTTCAGCAAAAATTGATGGATAATGGAAAAATCAACGATTTTCAGGATCAGAAACCCTGGAAATTTCTCAAAGAATTTCCCTCAACTGAAATTCATTATTTTCCTTCAGGTGAACGAAAGACGTCTCCTCGAAGAAAACACGCAAGAAAACAAGCTGTACCACGTAGAATTGAAGAAATTCCGAATATTAGAAATGAAAAGGCAGTCCATATAAATAGTGAAACCAAGTGCTCAGAGAGAGAGAAAAAGACAAAGTCCACCCCCTTTATTCCTGTTTTGAATGAAGAAAAAAATTGTAAGGACAAAAAGGATCAACGAGTTCTTCGCGAAGAAAAATCCACTCAGAAGCAGGCAAAACCTTCCAAGAAAGCTAGGACTGGAAGAAAACGCAGAAAGACACAGCAGGTTTCAGGCGAGAGCAAAAAGAAACGATCAAAAGTAACTTGGTGTAAAAATACTCAAGACGATGACATTTGCATAGATGAAAACATGTGTAAAGCTAGGAACCCTCATGACTTAGCACAGGACGAGTTTCTTTCAATTTTTGGTTTACTCAGAAAGGATAGGCAGTAGTACGAAACAAGAGAGATTACGTGTTTCTTGTTCAGGACCTCTAAGGCATACATTAGCCGGTTTTAAAATTCTCTATACTGAACCTTCTTTCAACTTAGCTTTGTATTCAAGACTTTTGTTCTCTAATCTATGAACAGCTGAATGTTACGACTTCAGAAGACTGAAAACTAGCAATATCGATGGTATGTTGTCGCTTTTTTCTAATTGTTTAAAAAATAGCGGCCACTTGGCCAGTTTAATCAGTTTAATCAATTTATATTATTTTTAATCAGCGTTATGTTTGGTAAGTATGGAACAATTATTCTAGTTATTCTATCCATCCAAGAGTAAAATGGACTAACTTTGTACAAGACTTCAAAATGCGCGCAAAGATTATTAAAGGTAGCCTGAGAAAACAGCCGACATTTTGCGACTCCACCACTGGCTTTCCCGTGAAATGACGTTGTGACGAGTGCCAAGGCACAAGTGTTTCAGACGTGTGAGAAATGAGTGCAGAAATTCCGTACTGATGAAGCGAATTTTCAGCCAATCAGACACACTTCCCAGATCTGTGTGGTGACGCGTCATCAGCATGGAATGTCTGCGCTCGTTTTGACGTCATTTCGCGGCGCAAGCCCATGGTGGCGTAGCGAAATGTCGGCTGTTTTCTCAAGCTATATTCAAGGCTATAAGTGGTGCTGTGTTGACCGCATTGTGTTTGTGTCACTCAATTCCACAGAACTACAAAGCTGAAACTATGCATGCTTATTACGAACCCATAATCTCCGTTATAAAAGGTCTGGCTTCGACACCTTCAGAATAATCACGGTTTTGCCTCGTCTTATCATGAGAAGGCTATATTTTCTTTACAATTTTAGAAAATGGCATCATAGAGAAAAAGAGAAAAAAAAAATATATCTAAAAGGATGCTTTGACCTCTCTCGCTGCTTTCTAGACTAATGAGTGCTACAGTGGAACCTCGATATAACGAAGGGCCAAGGGACTGGCAAATTTGGTTCTCTATACCGAGGTTTCCTTGTATCGAGTTTCTTTTTCACAGTCGACTCTCTCTTAACGGACACCTCTGTAAAACGGACACCTCTCTAAGACGGACACTTAGTGCTGGTCCCATAGTTGTCCGTCTTAGAGAGAGTTGACTGTATACTTTACTATTACTGTGGTAAAGATAATCGTTCGTTATACGGAGGACTTCGTTATATCGAGGTTCCACTGTATTTAGGACCTTCTTTTACACCACCATCGAGCAAATGCTCAGGTGACTAGAGTCGGCTGTGTATCATATCCGGCACGGTTTGCTCGAGTTTCCTTCGCTTGCATTCACCGCCGTTCAGAAAAGAGGGTACTATTATTACTATAGCTACTACACGTAACGTAGCTTCCAATAATTTGTGAGGTTTCATGTGAAAATACGGCATGCAAACGCCGAGTACACAGATGCCTACGTTCACATGGCAACGGACGCATTTTCGACCGGCTGACAAATTTGCCCCTACTGTACACTTGGTTCACACGCAAGCGTACAATATTTACGCTCTGTTCACACGGTCTTTTCGTACGGTTATGTGGTTCCGTGTGAACGGACTGGGCACCTTTTCCCTTTCGTGTCCCCTGATTCTCTCTCTTTTGATTTCCCTACGTGTCTTCCTCTTCGACATTACTTACGCAAGATCAGAAACGGATCCTGGGGAGCCCGGTTCCGAGGGGCCTGAGCAAGCACCTAAATGAATCTATCAGACTGGAGGATTTTTCGAAAGTACTTAACTAACCGCTTTGAAACTGAAATATTTCAGCACTATCGAGGAATAGTATACAGCTTTCAACTCGTAGCTTAAAAAGGAATCCTGCTTTGCACGCCGCCTTTAAACCATGGGTCATTCTTAAAGTTAACTCGCAGGAATTGCACTGTGCACTTCTCACTGTACCCCGTGAGCAGAGGTTTCTACCTGGCATGGCTTTACGCACTTGTAAAGTCGTTTTTACGTCATCGACAAACCAACTACGCTACTGACAAGCAACGCGAACGATTTTACAAATGCTAAAAGCGGCCATGCCAGAAAGAAACCTCTTCTTGCAGGGTATAGTCTACTCTCACTGCGCATAACAAGATGGCCGCCGTGAACAAGAGCATTCTAACAAGCATTATCAAAATGAAGTTGATCGAAGAGAAACGCTATTGGATGAGACCCAGGCCCGTCCACAGTGCACGTATTCGGATATTTTTGAATCCGCAACTTTTTCTTTGCGGACTCGGCTTTCGTCCACACGTATCAGGTGTATCCGGCATACAAAGACAAGGTAGGAAGTTTTGATATGTTTTTGTTTCTACTTTAAAGCCCTAAATGACGATCGATAATTTTTCCATACAAACTCTTATCATATTTCTGTGATTTCGGGAGTGTCCGTCGCTCGAGGCGAATAATTCAGCTGGAAAATTACCCCCGGCCTCAATTCCTCCAGGAATTCAAAGCAGAGATGTTGTAGTTCCATGTGTCCATTCACTCGATTCGCAATTCGTCCCACAGATCGTTCATGGACATGGAAAATTTTGAATCTGCAAAGAAACATTTGCAGATTCAAAAATATCCGGATACGTGTGGACGGGTCCCGGGGATGGGGGGGTACTCCCATACATTACCTGTACGGGTATGTGCCGCTAGGCTCGGGGATGAGTGCGGGTTCATTTTCCCGAACAGCGGCTGGTAATCGAGCCTAATGTGCCGCCCAACGGGGTCGTGATTTTAGAACGGGGTATCCATTTCAGAGGCATTTTCTGGAACGGGGTATAATATTTCGAACGCACGAAAGCTCCAGTTTTGTAAGCAGCCATTTGAAATTATTCAAGGACAGTTTGCTTTTAAAAATACGATTCAATGCGTTAACAAGCAAACTGTTGTACTCTTGTTGCCGGTCCTGTGTTTTAGTGTGCAGGGCGGGCGTATTTTGGACCGAGCCGCGAGCGCTGACTTTCTTGATCAGAACGTTTGCTTAATTGCATTTTTTGCCAGTGACGGTTTACTTGGCTCCTTTCGAACAGAATCGCGCTGGTTGTCTATGACGGCAAAACAAGAAACTGTTAGACAACACTTTGTTTGGCCTTTTGTTGAGACCGAAGATACAAGCAAGAAAGTGGAGCATTTAACGATGACTCCGATAAACAAAGTATTATAATATATACGTAATTTGCTTGAATCCGATTGTAGTTTAGTAACTTGATATTCATGATTTTTTTTAATAAAAGTTTTTAACACAATTTAATAAGATGGGAAATAAAAAATATTGTGGATCACGGCTTTATCCTCTGCTTAAAATTGTTGCTGATTATGAAGAAGCATTTATTTGATGTATAAGCCGAACAAATAAAGAAATATCTTTTTAAAAAAACAGGGCTATTTCAATTTACAAACTTTCTAGAACGGAGTATAAAAAATTGGCCCATTTCTAGAACGGGGTATCAATTTTAGGGGAAAATTTTTTAAGAACGGGGTGCCAATTTGGAGTCCCGGGCGGCACATACCCACCCAAAAAATACCCAAGTGCCCCCACCCCCCCGGGGGACGAGGCCTCGGTGTATTGGGAATGTACATAACAAGTGTCCAGTCACTAACCTCTCTCTGAGCGGCCACCTTGGGGACAAAAGAAAGGGACCATTGTAGAGGTGGGCGTTGTAGGAAAGTTAAAACAAGAGTGAATGTATGGACTGCAAGCCAAAAACATGGCCGTTGAAGAGAGGTGGCCGTTAGTGGAGGTTTGACTGTATGGCGGTACACGTGTTGTGGTCTACTGGACGTAAACTGTTATACTTAGTCGTTCCTGGTCGGTTTCGCCCAGTGAACAACAAAAGCAACGGAATAAGCAACGGTACCTTTTTTTATGTCTGTCTATGCAAGGTTGCTCTTGACGGCTAGTGTTCGTTCTTTCCGCACAACTTGAAATTTTACAAGGCTTTTGTTATGAGCTGCAAATCGATCCTTTATTGCAAACAAAGCAGCATTCTTGACTGAACGTGCCAGGCGTTCGAAAGGGAAGAAGGGGCCAAGGAAATTGGGAGGGAGACCGCGCGCGAGGGAGAAGGGACAGGAAGGTCGGCTTCCTCGCGCTTGTTGTTCGCCCGAAATCCCTTTGTCCCCTTTCCCTTCCCTTTCAGCTACACTTAACTTCATTTACAGATTCTTGCGCTGAATATAATAAGAGTAAACAGAGTTTTTATTGAAACTTTTTTGATGGCCACCCGTCACATTGTCAGAAATTTTCTCCTGAAATTTTTGATAGCCCCCCTAAAAAATAACCAGAAAAAATCATGCCCCTTTCCTTAAAAAAAAAATCCTCCATAGATTATGAACAACTTCTTTTCAGGGGCGAACGTGACTAGGAAACCGGAACCAGAATCTTTAAATGCAAATTTAATTAATTAAATTTCTCTCCGAAACTATCAGGTGCTGTGATGGCCGAGTGGTTAAGGCGTTGGACTTGAAATCCAATGGGATCTTCCCGCGCAGGTTCGAACCCTGCTCGCAGCGATAATTTTCCTTTTTCCTTTTTTTTCCCCTTCGATGGTATTATATTCCCTAAGATATCTACTTTCAAAGCTGCATAAAAAATAATAATAGTAATAAGAATAATAAAAAATAAAAATGGCTTGACCTATATAGGCTCCTGATATCAAGGACCGCGCTCTCTTTTTAATCTCTCACACAGAAACCGTCACTAAATGTCATGAAATGAACAAAGGTTACTGAGCTTGGTCAATTGCTAGAGTTGAAAGCACCCCTTTAATTTGGATTTACGGAAAATATAAGCACGTTTGCCTGTATACATTAATAATGTACTGTATGTAAGTTTTATCAGAGTTTGAATTGAGACCGGGACAGATTAAGACCGTCCGTTGTCCCTATTAAACGGTCGCTGTCCGTATTAGGAGGGCATTTTTAGAAAAAAATGTGAGCTTTTCATCGGGACAAACGAAACTGTCCGTTTACATACGGGTGTCCTTTGATAGAAGA